AATAGTACTGTCCCCAATTTTCAAAGGTGTCCCCGCCGTCGCTCTTAGGATACAATCCCTCACATGTCTCTTCGAGAATCTCATCACAATTTCCCCAGGCAGATTATTTTTCTTTATGCACATGGAGTAGGACCTGTAGACCACATCCATTTTGCTCATAAGATAGTCCGCCTTCCAATCTGTCACTGGGGCCAGTGCTTCACTCATCATTTGCTTCAGATTCTCTCCTCTGCTCTCTGAAACGCCCTGGAAACGAAGGACCAGATTTGCTTTCTCCATTTGTATTTGCAAAAGCTGTTCTTCTGTTGAATGTTTTTTTCCAATTTTTGCACCTTTTTCTTCACCTTTTGAGTAGTGGTGTCAACCTCTTTCACCTTCCACAAATTGTCTTCATCCTTAAGGTGCTACTAGACTTCTGCTCTTTTCTACTGCTACAGACAGACTAACATGCTGGTGGAAGGCGGAGCCAGGAAGACGCCGGAGTGTGGAAGGCGCATGCGCAGTGGAGCCTTAATGGACGGAACCGGAAGCTGCACCAGAAGCGCGCCGAGCACCAGAGAGGCCCGCTGTACCACCACCGGGAGGAAAGAAGCCAGAAGAAGCCATGCCGACCAGCCGATCCAGAACGTCCCTCCACTGGGTGCTGTTAGGAGACAGTCCCCACCCCAGCATATATGTGGCCTTAGGTAAGGGATAATGGTTAACTGTAGAGCCGCTCAGAGACCCCCTGTGGGGGGTTTGAGCAGGGTAGCAAGTCGAAAGTTTAAAAAAAACATGGCTACCCACCATGTGCTGTTTTTATGTCTTTGTATGTGTTTTAGCTTTGTTTTTAATTGTTTTAAAATGCATGTTTCTTTGTGGTTTGTTTTAATGGTTTTAAGGGCGCGATCACATGCACAATTAGCCACGCCATAGGCGCGAATGCCGGGTGGATTTAAAGGGCGTGATCAGACACAAACATCTGGGAAGCGCCCGCACCCATTGGCAACCCATTTTGCTCCGCTGCAGAAGCGAAGTAAAAAGACACCAGGGAAAGTCCGGTAGCAAACGGGTTGCTACGGGCCACAGACGGACTTTCCCCTGTCTGATCACTCCAGCATGTTCTCATGGCGTCAGGATGGTATGATAAGGCCATCTTGACTCCATGCTGTTGTCCCCCCCCTTCTCAGTATGTGCATCATCACACACCCCATAGGGAGCCCTCAGTGCTGAGATGCAATTTGTCGATTTCCCATTTAAGCGCATTGGGAACAAACAGCAAAAAACCCCAAAAAAACGACTCACCCGCAGTTGCGTCCGATCACACAGTGGTGGGCTGCTCCCGCAGCTTCAAAGAACTGTGTGATCACACAACTGCGGGTCAAATTCCCCTGGAGGAAATAGCCTTGCTTCCCCCCTGCGTTATCTCACGCATGTGACTGCCATCAAAGTTTTGATTTTATTATACATGTTTTAGGCTGCAATCGCACACACCAAATAATCCACCTTCAACCCATTTTCAATGCCCTTTCGAACTGGATTTTGCCAGTTCACAAAGTAAAACCCAGTTGGAAATTACATTGCAAGTGGATTGAAAGCGGATCATTTAGTGTGTGTGATTACATGAATTTGTTACGTGCCTTGATGGCCCTTGTGAAGGCAGAAATACAGATATACATTTTGTAAGATAAAGTCATAAATGAATGTAGAAACTCTGGAACCTCCCCTTGTCTTGCCCTCTGATAAGACCTTTTTGTTGCATGCATCCTCTAGAGACAAAGGGCTCGATTCCAGGTGACATCTTTTGCATACATGATGTCATAACTTTGGAACACCCTCCCCAGGGAGGTTCATCTGTCTCCCTCTCATGTTGTCTTCTGCCACTGGGTAATTCCCCCCCTTTTTTTGTTCTTTGGCA